GATTACAGGCGTGAACCACCATGCCTAGTCAAAAAAGTGGAGTTTTTTTTTTTTTTTTTTTTGTCACCAGTGTTTTATGCAATACCAACTTTTTGGTTGACTTCTGAGACCCAAATCTAGTTTTTTTTTGGTGCTTAGAGAGTGATTTTTAACCACAAGGATTTTTTTTGTTTTGGTTTGTTTTGTTTTTTGAGACAGAGTCTCGCTCTGTTGCCCAGGCTGGATGGAGTGCAGGAGTGTGATCTTGACTCACTGCCAGCTCCGCCTCCTGGGTTCACACCATTCTCCTGCCTCAACCTCCCAAGTAGCTGGGACTACAGGCGTCCACCACCTCGCCCAGCTAATTTTTTGTATTTTTAGTAGAGACAGGGTTTCACCGTGTTAACCAGGATGGTCTCGATCTCCTGACCTCATGATCCACCCGCCTTAGCCTCCCAACCACAAGGGTTTTTATCTAAAGCTCATGAACCCCTCAGACAGGAGTCTCAAACTCTAGTGTGCAAAAAGCTCACTTGGGACACTTGCTCAAAAGTAATATTTCTGGGCTTCGTCCCATAGAGATACTGATTCATTAATTCTGGAGAAGATCCAGAAATTTGCATTTTTAATGCTACAGACGATCCTAAACTGTACTGCCCTGTGAGAGCCAAAGATGGACTTCAGGTGGTTCTGTTTAACCTTCACACTGTGACTACATGAATTGTATTCAATGAGAAGGTCTAGGAATCTTTAGATGACTTTCCTTAGTTTCTTAAAGGGGTCTGCAAAAATACCATGATAATGCTAGAAGCAGTGGTTTACAAGTGGAAGAGGGTACTGGTAAAATCATCCACACAACCAGCAACAAGAACCCACAGCAAAAGGTCTAACAATGAAAGAAAAATCTATAAAGCAGATACAAATACTCAAGTTGTAGAGGAATCCAGAGCAGTGTCCCCCACACAACTGTTTTTGAGACTATCTCAGAAGTGAGCAGATATGTGTTGATAACCTGGTGTTCATTGGTCAAAAAGGTTTGAGAAACACTAAGTTTAGAAAGTTATTACTTTATTATGGAAGTAAATAGAGACTTTAATATGCTATTTAGCTTTGTGAATTACTTTAAGAAGAATTTAGTATGTAGTATTTCCCAAGTTTTTTTGGTCATAGAACCCTTTTCATATAATCTAAAATGAAAGCAATTTCAGAAATACCCTTTAACAGAGGGACAAACAATAGTCCCTGAGTGTAGCATAGAAATAAATAACTCATTATAACTGTATCATGAAGAAAGATTTATATTGTTTTAAATACAGTAAATAATAGCAGAATATTTTATACTGCATTTTAGAAAAATTCTTATTAAAATTATCTATAAAGAAAAAACCCTCAACTATCTACTTATTATTTATGTGGACTTACTCATCTAGTTGATGGTAAATTAAGTAAAGACTTTCTCTAAAATGAAAATTTAATTTTATCTTTATAATATTTTGGGGATTTAGGAGAAATGCGTATTTCCTAAGAATCATAGAGCTTATCTTACAGCCAAACAATAGTTATTACGTCAGATATTTTACAGCAATGGTTGGCAGCATGCCAGACAGAGTTGCCTGTGTATAAACATGTATGTCCAAAACTTTGAAGCACGACAGTTCCATAGTGATTTAAATAAATAAATAAAGGCCAGGTTGACTTAGTGGGGGAAGGAGAACTCCTAGATTGATTGTATCCAAATAAAAGCTTTCAGAAGGGCGCGGTGGCTCACGCCTGTAATCCCAGCACTTTGGGAGGCCGAGGAGGGCCAGCCGGGGCAACATGGTGAGATCCCGTCTCTACTATAAACACAAAAATTAGCCGGGCATGGTGGCGGGCGCCTGTAATTCCAGCTACTCAGGAGGCTGAGACAGGAGAATCGTTTGAACCCGGGAGGTAGAAGTTTCAGTGAGCCGAGGTGGAGGCACTGTTTTTTCTTTTCTTTTTTTTTTTTGGAGACAGGGTCCCACTCTGTGGCCTGAGTTGGAGTGCAGTGGCGCAATCTCGGCTGACTGCAGCTCCGCTTCCCGGGCCTAGGTGATCCTCCCACCTCAGCCTCCTGAGTAGCTGGAACCATACAGGCTTGCGCCACTACGCCCAGCTAATTTTTGTTTGTTTGTTTGTTTGTTTTGGTATTTTTTTGTAGAGATGAGGTTTGCCGTGTTGCCCAGGCTGGCAGATAACGTTTTCTGGAGAGGTGACTTAGGAGGAACAAACAAACAATATTGAAAAGTGCGGAAAGGAGATTAATTTAGCAAAGGAGGTCAAAGGAATTTCTGCTGGGAGAAACTCTTTCCTGATTTTGTTAACAACGAAGAGTTTAAGGGACAGAGAAACATGTGCTTAGGTAGATAGAAATCATGAGTTAAGGTGTGATGATTAGGACACTAGTCCTATGAGATACTGTGAGGTAAAATAAGTCAAATAAGTTTGGGAAATGCTACTTCGTCCTTTGTGTTTAATTTTGCTTTAATTGGCCTTTCACAAAATGAATTTATCACAGAATTATTTTCCCCATAAATTAAGAACCCGTACAATACCCCTTGGGAGAACACTGAGCTGATAGTAATAGGAAATAAGGGCTACTAATTAATGGATCGCTACCATAATCATTGGTTCTTTGGGACAAAAAAAGATTAGATTTAGGTCATCTATTTTATTCTGTCCTCTTACATTATTTAGTTATAAAGATTCACTGAATTGAAAGAAGATTTACCTTTCACTATTGTTATATTCCTGGAATACAAGATTCTTCTAAATCCAGGTCATGAAAGTAAGACCTCTTCATGTAGAATCCTCAGACCTTGCATAATTGTCAGCAAGTAGCAAGCACTCTTATATAATTTTGACTCTTAAAGATTCTTCTTCGGGTGCTTCTTTGCTTACTTTATAAACATTCACAAGACTTCCAATTTGGAATTGAGCCAGATAAAGGCTTCTTAAATATGCTTAATTTCTAGTGAAGCTATTGAGTGCCCTTTCCTAATAAAGAATTAGGAAGGATTCTTAAAGCCTTTGAAAATTTAGTTTATAAACATTTTAGGTCCAAAAGGAAATTTAAGGTTTAGAAGGTTAAACTATCCACTCATCTACATGAGAAAAGCTTAAGATAAGTCAAATAGACCAAATGGTACCAACTAAATAAAACATAATATATTTATTCTCTTTTCATTTGGGGGCATAATATTTCTGGCAAAGCCTTAGTTGTATATTCTGCCTGTACATACTTGTATTCTCTAGTATGCCTATAGAAGAACAGTAGATGCGAGTTAGATTTTCATGTATATTGGGCTAATGTCAACTTAGAGACGAAACAGAGTTTTTGTATTTACTTGCAGATTTTTTAAAACCTTATTACTGTTTCAGAACAGTACTAAATTTTACAGTCTAAGTTGGTAGACAGCTCTTTCTCATATTACCGGCAAAGAGACCGTGACATTTTTGGTCCTCAGTGAAAGACTGTTATAGGACTACAAGTTTGATGCTAACATTTTAAAGTTTCACTGAAGTGAAGTGGATTAGCCATAAAATTGTTAGAGTTCTGGAATCTTCCTTCTACATCTATGTGATGAAGGTAATCTTTTTTTCCCATGGAATTGCCAGACCCTATACAGTTTTTGAATAGCACTTGTATTTTGTCTCCAAAGGCATTTTGTGCTAAGTTTGTAGGTTTACAAATTTTCCAATTTATAATTAAGCTTCAAGCTATTTCTTAAATATGTTGTAAGAAAAGGCATTAATAAAGAAAGGATTCTTTAAATCCTTTAAAACTTGGTCAAAAAGACCATTTAGTGATGTAATCTAAAATGAAAGCAACAAATTGGAGTTAAGAACATGAAATAAGTGAATTATTCTCCATACTCTTAAAGAGTATAAAGGGATTTTACTATCATGTTAAAATGATAGTATGACTTTACTAGTAGCATAATTATAAGAGGGCAAAAAAAAAATCCTTTAAGTTGTATTATTCTTATGCAAATAATAGATATCACAATTATTTAGACAGAAGTTATTTTTAAACATGACTTTGTGAATTATGTAGTCTATATTCAATAGCTACCTTAATCTGCTTTTTTTTAATGATAGGAGCAACACTTATAAGGTCATAAAGAGCGTATCTTTAATACAGTGTTTTGTAATATGTTTATTTTAATTTCAGACTTACAAAAAGGTTGCCAGGATAATACAAAGAATTCCTTTACATTCAAATTTCCCAAATGTTAATATCTGACCACATTTCGACTTTTGCTTTCTCTCTCTCTCCTTCTTTGAAAAGTTTTATTTTTTCTTGAACTGAAAATAGTCTGCAGACACTCTTACGTATTTCAGTGTGTATTTCCTAAAAACAAAGACATTCTCTTGCAAAACCACAATACAGCTATATAAATTGGGAAGTTTAAGTCATATAGTAATAGCATTGGATAGTAGACTTCAGTCAGATTTCACCAAATTATCCCACGAATGTCTTTTATATCCAAAAATGCTGATTATGTATTAATTTCAGTTTTACTTAATGTCTATTTAGACTCCTTTAGACTAAGTCATTTCCTGGCTTTTGTACTTCCTCACATGGCACTTTTGAAAAGTGCAGACCAGTTATTTTGTAGACTGTCCCTCAATTTGGGTTTGTGTAATATTTCCTTGTCATTAGGTTTAAGTTATATGCCAGACTAAAAAAAAAAAAAAAAAATGCAGAATTGCATAAGATGTGATTTTACAAGAAATCAAATTTCTATTTATAACTCTGAGAATCAATCTAATTATTTAATTGCTATATTTGCCTCAAACAGAATATTCATCTCCAGCTTCCCAGAAGAAAAGATACTCCTAGGAGATTTTATATGTATTTCTTAATGAACTAACTTGGTTTAATTATGGAGGAACTTGTTAGTTTTTAGATGGTTTATGGAATCACACAGATCGTTCTAATATTTACTAAGAAGATAAATAAAAGGTATGACAGTCTTGATCTTTTCTTTTCACAGTTACTCCTGAATGCCCACAGAAAGGAAGAAACTTCTCTCTCCCTTTAGACAAAGTCGAATTCTTATCGCAGCTCATAAAATCCTTTATGAAACTGGAAAAAGGTGTTCAAGAATTGTTTGAAGAAATACTTTTATCACTCAAGATAACCAGAAATACTTCAGGTAATATCCTCTTTTGTTTAAATTTGTAAATCTATAATTTCTCTGTTTTTGCTTCCTGCTGCTTTGAATGAAAACGATTACTTGAAAAAAAAAAAAAAAACACGTGAAAGAATTCTTAATAAGCATTCAGTATAATGCACACCATGCATTATATATAAAAATGCACACATTTTTATCCTTCGTGCTTGGCAAGTTTCTTAATTCTAACTGACAAAGCATCATACGTCACTTCTGGATGATTTTTAGCTAAAATTAGATCAATTTTTCTTTTCAAAGAAACACAGCTAGCATTTGGAAAGAATAAGCAGACTGGGTGGTCTAGTATCTTTTCTTTTGCTCCTAGGACCCAGATGATCTTGAGCAGAACAGTTAGTCTCCTTAGACATGAATTTTCTCATCTTCAAAATAATGATATAGGGCTACATTAATTTTCTCGTTGTTTTCTTTCAGGATTAGATGCTTCAGATTTCAATATGTTATAATGTTATGTAGGGTTGTGAGAATTAAATGACAGTGAAAATAAAATACCTAAGGGAATGTCTAGTACATCATAAATGCTCAATAAATGTGAGTTGTTAAAATAGTAATTATGATTATGGAATATGTTGTTTTTAGTCTTAACAAAAATCCCTTTGAAAGAAGCCATGCCATGTGTACGGAATAATATTAACATTAAAGGTAAAATTCAAAGGCATAATGGATGAAGTGTCTTCTCTGTTATCATATCTATATTTATAAAAATTTTCATTTTCCTCAGGATGAAATATACAAAGTTCTCCTTTACATGATGCCATATGCCATTCTAGGGAGTGTAAATATATATATTTGCTGCATCTGCAAAAAAAAGTGAAGGAAGCAAGTGATTAACAATTAGTCTGAAAAATTTAATACCCAAAACCGATCTCTTGGTAAAATTATTGTCACTCAACATGTTTACTCTTGTATTCCTTTACTTACTTTGCCCATGTAAATAATGTCAGAAAAGTTATAGGGTTGGAAATTTTGTTTTACATTAAGCATAGTTTACTGGCCTTCTTTGTTTCGGGTGAAATTTAGGTAACACTGTTGTATTATAAAATAAATAACATAGATTACTTTTTCAAAGTTGGAGATAATTTGAAGAAAAAATAAAAATGGACTATAGATTTCTGAAGCCAACCCCCCCCCAAAAAAAAACCAAGGGGAAAATAATAAAAATACAAGTCAGAAAATATGAGTATTAATTAAAATAGAGAATGAAAAAGTAGATTTCATTAGGAGAGAATGTGACCCTTAAAACATCTTTTAGATAGAGTTTGACTGTGAGGTCAAACAGAGATCTGAATAGAGAAATATGATATCCTCATTATTGACTGACATATTGGTTCCTGGAACAGTTGACATTGGAGTTGGTGCTCATCCACTATGCCTGGCTAAGATTTATCATCTGTCATCTATATCTCTAACAGATCTTTTCTGAGGTATGGATCAAGAAACAGAATGAACTTCAAAACATCTAGGCTTCTCCCCATTTTGAATCATCTTGTATTAGTCCTAGGCTAGACCCTTGGGAATTAAGTCAGTTTTGTGAACTTTATTCTTCTTAAAGTCAGCATAAATTCAAAATTAGAATTGTGTTAGGAGGTATTATAAAGATATAACACTGAAATGGCCAAGAATTGAAGCACAGATTTAGCATGCTGATTTTAGAGAAAAGAAGAACAATTTTGAAAACAGTGATTCAACTCCATTAGATTAATATCAGGCAATGTGGAAACTTGCAAATGCTGGATGTTTGAGAGCAATGGTTACCATTCTTGAATAAAGTCAACAGAGCAAATATGTCATTTGTCACAATATACTGTTGTAAATATGCCATCTTATAAGCAGTAAGGCGGATAAAAGCAACTTCAATATCATGTTAATAATAGTGGACTATGTGAACACATTTGTGGATTATCAAACACAGGATGTAGAAGGAATTTCAAGGGGCAAGTATAAGAAGTGTCTAAGTACTAGAACGTCTCCTTGTGATATATGTAGTCTTCTTTGTTGAAATTCATATTTTTTTGGTCGCAAAGCCAAGATTGATTTAATCTGACACAGCTTTATGTAAATGGATTCCTGAGAAGAATGATCTTGAGGGAAATTGTCAAGAAAAATCTTAAATGTTTTATTCAGTGTATCCAAGTTAATCAATTCTTATCAAAAGCACTGGTTTCTTAAATCAGGAAGGAAAAGACTCCTTGAAATGGATGATTAAGGAAGCCAACTATATCTTAACTATTGGGTATTTCCCAATAGTTTTGCCTAGAAATCTTGTAAGGAAGAGAATGGGGGGGAAAAAGAGCGAAAGTCATTTGGTTTCCTGTGTGTTTATTTTGATTGGAGCATATTTTGCTAATAAAGATCTTGGAAAGAGTTGCCTATGATGTCTATGTAACCCAAACATATGAACGGATGAAAAGCGAGTTTTTTTTTTCATTGTGCAGATTTTTAAAAAATGTCCAGACGCTTAACATCACATAGAGAAACTATAAAAATGATTAACCAAATATTTTACTTTTTACTTTGATGTTTACTATTATATTGTAGACTTAGCCAAATTGGCTGTTCTCTCACTAATTTGATTGTAGACAAGAGATTTTGTAGAGATACAATAAATATTTTCTGAGAAAGAAAAGATATTTTGTCATTATTTGCTTTTGTTTGGTCATGATTTGATGGTTTTCTATTTTTGTCACTTCAAAAAATGATAGGACATTATTTGACTGCTGTGGTGCCTTACTGTATTTGGTGATGATATCTTATGGAGTGGCTGTGGATTTGATTTATGGGGCATTTCTAATGCTTCTGTGGAATAAAGTTGTTCTTTGGGCAATTCCTCAATTTTTCCAAAGGTGGCATCTGAGATTTATCTAAACCAGGAGGCTTCTTGGCCCTCATTTTTCTTTAGCCCCAGCAATGACAAAGAGCAATGGCTGCTTCAATTGGATGTAAGAAGAACACTTAGGGTTTGTCTCAGAAGAATCAAAGATTTCAGATCTTCTGAAAGATTGTTTGTACTCTTAGGGGGTCTTAAGAGGGGTCAAATGGCTTCTAAGAGTTCCTTAGCTAGATGGTTAAGGGATTGTATTAGGGAGGCGTATGTAGTTAAGGTAAAGAGGCTCCTAGGGTTTGTAAAGCTCATTACACTAGGACTTTAGCTGTTTCTTGGGCAGAGAGGTCGAAGGCTTCCACATTGGAAATTTGCAAGGTGGCCACCTGGGTTTCTCTTCATACTTTTTCATGGTATTATCTCTTGGATGTAGTCTCTTCTACAGATTCAGCTTTTGGTGGGAGGTTGCTTGTGAGCCAGAAAAAGAACAGTGAAGAAAAGAAAGACTTGTAGTTCCCACTTAGAGCTGCCAACAAGGCAAGTTGCTTTGTAGTGCACACAATGGGAACCTATGAAGACCAATTTGGGTGTGAAAGTGGATGTCACAGGGAAGTACTGCCAACCTCTACTCTCTGTGAAAGAAAGCGGCAGTGTAGAAACTAACCAGAAGTGTAAAATGAACCACAGAGAACTCTGTAGGGGAAGCTGTTGAGCAGCTGGCATTCTTGTGACCCTCTGCACTCTTCTGAGGTTCTTAATCTAGGCATGCTTTTAAAGAAACCAGTATTGACTGCATGCAAATAACTATATTTTACAGTGATGAGCCGAAAGTGGGCTACCTTCTCTAGACAATGATAATAAGTATATAGATTTTAAATACATTTTTAAAATATATGAAACAATTCATCAAATGTTTAGAGTTCATAGAGTTTTACATTGCCAAATTTCAAAATTGACCATTTTGAATTCCAAACAAATGTAAAAATGCCACAATTTGTTAAATCCAGAAGATATCATATTAGTGTAGATCTCATGTTAGTAATCCTACCTAAATATGATAACTTTTGCTTCCCTGTACAGAATTAAGTTTTTTTTAAACCATTTTAATTTGGGGCAGGGGGATTATATTTTAAAGGCTATCATAATTGCTTGATAATTCATTTTCTATATCTTACCATAGAATTGCTCACCAGCAAGAGAAGTCTGGAAAGTTTCTTTTTTTCCTTAGTCATCTTGAATATAGGCAGATGGTTTGTATAAACATCTGAGCACATTACTTTGAGTGAATAAACATAATGTATTTGGAAGTGAAATGATAAAAACAAGATAATTAACTTTTTCTGTAAGTCTTAAACTCTAGCTACACAATAGCAGACAGTTACTTCCAGAAACAGATCTCCAAAGCTTATATTTCAATCTAGTATTATTTTTCCAGAGTAAATACCTTTTAAATGAGCTATCTATAGAAAAGTAAAGTGACGTTAAGAATCCAACTGTTGTCCCTTCTTGTCATTAACAACTTGATCTTTATTATTTTTTCTTTTTTAAAAAACTGAGAACTTTTGAATGGGATGAAAGAGTAACTACTTCATATACATTGCCATGTTAAAAATAACTCAAAATCTTATCATACTATGTAAATGTACTCTTTTATAACAATTTAGAAAATGTAGAAACACCTCGTTATTTCTACTAGAGGAATAGTTTTCCATTGGTGCATAATTTAACCAGTTATTCATTGATGGACAGTTAGGATTTTTTTCCCTCTTCATTTGCTACCACAAAACATGATATGGCAAATTTCCTTAATTATTTCTTATATGTACACAACTATATCTGGATGGTAAATTTCAAAAGTAGAATTGCTAAATAAATAGGCATGATCATAAAGAGGATGAAAAGATAAGCCATGAACTAAGAAAAAACTATTTGCAAAACACATATATGATAAAGAACTTGTATCCAAAGTATACAAAGAACTCTTAAAATTCAACAAGAAAACAAACAACCCAATTTAATAATTCATAAAAGATCTGAACAGACACCTCACCAAAGAGGATATACAGATGGCAAATAAGCATATGAAAAGATGCTCAACATCATGTCATTAGGAAAATGCAAATTAAAACAAGATGACACTACACACCTATTAGAATGACTAAAATCCAAAACACGTACAACACCAGATTCTGGCAAGGATGTAGAACAACTCTCATTCATTGCTGTTAGGAATGCAAAATGGTACAGGCTCTTTTGAAGACAGTTTGGCAGCATCTTACAAAGCTAAACATAGTTTTACCATACAATCCAGCAATTGCACTCATAGGGATTTATCCAAATGAGTTGAAAACTTACGTCCGTATAAAAACCTGCACAGGAATGTTTATAGCAGCTTTATTCCTAACTGCCAAAACTTGGAAGCAGCTAAAATGTTCTTCATTAGGTAAATGTATAAACAAACTGTGGTATATCAATACAATGAAATACTATTCATCGATAAAAAGAAATGAGATGTCAAGCCATGAAAAGACATGGAGGAACCTTAAATGCATATCACTAAGCAAAAGAAGCCAATGTGAAAAGGCTACATACGGTATGATTCCAACTATATCACATTTTGAAAAAGGCAAAACTATAAAGACAGTAAGCAGATTAGTGGGTACCAGGGTGAGGGTATGGGAAGGAGGGATGGATAAATGGTGCAAAGGGGATTTTTAAAGCATGGAAACTATTCTGTGTGACAGAGTAATGGGGGGTACATGACATTATACATTTGGCAAAACCCATAGAATTGCACAACACAGAGTGAACTATAATGTAAACTGTGGACTTAGTTAATAATATTTTTACATTTGTTCATCAGCTGTCACAAATATATATTGCAAGATGTTAACAGTAGAGGAAACTGAGGGCAGGGAGGAAGTATATGAGAACTTTCTGTACTTTCTGCTCAATTTTTTTGTAAACTGAAAACTTCGCTAAAAAATAAACTATTAATTTTCAGAAAGTGGACATTTTGAGAAAGATTGGCAAGTCAGCTTGTCATATCTACTTTGACAGTTGATGGTATTTTTGTTGTGCAGACTTACTTTATGGTTTCTGCATTTTGTGTCCTGAAAGGTCTTCTCTATGTGGATCTTTTTAAAAAAATTCCATATTTTCTTTTAATGGGCTTATAGTTTCATTTTTCTTTATTTAAAATTTTTTGACTAATCTGGATTTTATTTCAATTAGAAGTGATCCTTATTTGTAACACCGTCTTTTTGAAAATACATCATAAAATGCAAGCCATAAAAAAGCATTTTAAGTTAAATGGTATAACACTGTTTGAGTCTAAAACCTTCTCTATGTTGTGATGTGTCTTGAGAAATGGAACAGAATTCTTAAACTGCAGTCCATGGGCCCATTGGATTAATTAATGAGATTTACAAGAGGGCCTGGGAATCCCCAATAGTGTGTGTGTGTCTGTATGTGTGTGTGTGTGCGTGAGATGCACATGTGCCTGCCATACAGTCATATTATGCATTTTTGCATGCAGTGTTCTGTCACTTTAATCATGTTCTAAGAGTGTTCATTAATCCAAAGATGATTAAGAAATACCAGAGTTGATGAAAACTTTTCCTCAGAATATATAAACTCTGATAAAATTTCCCAAAATAATGATGTTATTGCCAACCAAATGGATTTTTTACCTTTAATACACTTTATGCACAAGATGGTTGAAATTAACATCAGAACAAAACGCTTTTATTTCATCAATTGTACTCCTTAGAAATCAATGACAATTAAGTTCATAGAACCACATTTAGGAAAAGAAAACATGCATCTACTAGATGACTCTATTGGTCAAAGTCCCTACTGATAAAGTCAGTTAGATTTTGAAATTTGCTTTGCCCAGGGATAAAGAAATTGATTCTTGGTAAATCGTGGGAAAAAAAAGAAAAGTTAGATCATAACATAGAACTCATCATCATATAGCATGTCTAAGCCAAAAAAAGGGTAAACATTAAATTATTCATATTGAATCAAATTATCATTAATCTAATCTTAATGCAAAAGTAGAAAGATTTATTTTTGGAGTAGTTATTTATTATATTTTTATAGATCAAATTTTTTTCCCCATAGAAAAGAGTTGCTTAATTGTAAAAAAAGAGTTTCTTAATTGTAAAAAACAAAAGTTGTGGAAATATTTCCATTTTTGGAGCTAGGAATTTTTTTTCTTTTTTTTTTTTTGAGACGGAGTCTCGCTCTGTCGCCCAGGTTGGGGTGCAGTGGCCGGATCTCAGCTCACTGCAAGCTCTGCCTCGCTAGGGATTATTTTATGCCTGTCTCAGAGTTTGTGTTTTTTAAATGAATCATTGATATGCTTAAGAGTATAATTTTTCTTGTTATGCTGATGTTCATCTATGTATTTTTCTTCTTTGTTTGAAGTTAACATGCTAGGAAATACCAACAGTTTTAAAATGTAGTACTTTAGAATTAACTTTTTAAATGAACAAGGAAATAATATTTATTTTGTCCTCTTACATTATCAACATGAAAATAAATTAATGACAAAAATATTTATTTTGAAGATTATATGTTTATGTACATCAAACATGAATGTAATTGGGATGTAGATTTCATCAAGTTGTGTATGGGAAAAGGACTCTATCTATCTTGATTCTATCATTATTGTAATGGTGACATCAGCCTGCATCTTTCTGACTGTATTCTCTATATATTGTTATTTGTGGATGTGTATATGTATGTATGTACTGTGGATAGAGCTTTTCTACCAATTAATATTTACCTGAATTTATAAATCACATCTAATATGCCTTTTAAACAATATATATTAGTGTGTTTGTTTTCTTTTCTATTGCTTAGGAATGTTGGAGAAATCCAATAGAGAATTTGTAATAGAAAAACCTAGAGCAAACGAAACCAATATTCCTTCAGAGCAATTGCTACCAGGAAAAGAGGTAAGTGAAGGACAAAAAAAGGGTTTTATAATTCACATATAAAATCATCATCAGATGCCTGTGAATCCATTATGAAGCAAAATGTCTTGAGTTTTACCCTTTGCTACAAAAAATAATTTTTCAATTTTGGATTGAAAATTGGCATATAAGTTTTCGATGAAAATTCAATTTAGTGGGGATGCTGTCTTCTTGTAAAATCTATTCCATGGGAGGAATAGAGAGGTGGAAGTCAAGAGATCTTTTGTTCTTATCCTGACTCAGAGTCTGCACTTAGAGGATGTGGGCTATAGATAATTGTTGAAACGTGAGCAAATGGAGATTAAAAAGGAAAAGGAAACAATCATCTGAACTGGCCTCATATTTATGATCCCCATCCTGTGATTGTTCCCAAAACCTGTTTTCTTTGCTCTGCTCTAGATTGCAGAGAATTACATATTCCAGGCCCCTTTGCTTTCAGATTCTGGGATGGGTTAGTCAATTAAAGGCATTAATGAAAGACCTCATGGAAGGCATTGATGGAGGGTAGGAGTTGCAGAGAAACCAGAGCGTTTCTTCTCCTCTCTCTGTCTTAAGGAGCATTTCTGATAATGGCTGTGACACCTTTATATCCACCCTGAGCCCTGCTCCTACCATGCAGCCTGCCCTGCATGACTTCAGTTCCACCTGGCAGGTCTGCTTGGGCTTTAGCTTCGACTGGTAGCCAGGAGCTACTCTCCCATAACTTAGTCCCTTTTCTTCATTCCTCCAGCCCTAGGGGTGGTTGTGGCCTCCTGCTCTATTAATATCTGGCCTGCTTCACAGTCCATGTTTGACTTCTCAAATCTTCCATCATGTAGGTAACCAAAACCCTACATTAAAATTCTTCCTTTTGAAAAATCTTGAGTGGTTTCTGTTTTTCAAATGGACCCTGACTGATACACTAGGTAAATATTTAAAGAGACAAAACAACATATAGTTTTAACAGTTTTGGCCTATAAAGCAAGAGAAATAATTGGGAAAATCCTAAGTTATATATTATACTTTAACCAAAAATCAAAATCAGTACTAAGAAATTAGCAGTAAATAATAGAAATAGAGATTCAACAGATTATCTACTTTTTGCATAGAAGAGAAAACCATGTGATTCTCTTTTTTCTTGGAACAACTAGTAAGTGTTCTCTAGTCTAAGTGGAATATGTATGATGCCAAATATTAGATGAGAAGAGTAGAAGTAAGCAAACTATATTTCATAAGAACAAATAAACTATTGGAGGTTTGAATAAGTAAAGGCTTTCAGTTTTCTTTTTTTTTTTTTTCTTTTTGAGACATAGTATCATTCTGTCACCTATGCTGGAGTGAAGTGGCACAATCTGAGCTCACTGCAATCTCTGCCTCCCAAGTTCAAGCGATTCTCTTGTCTCACCCTCCCAAGTAGCTGGGATTACAGGCGCCCACAACAACGCCCAGCTAATTTTTTATATTTTCAGTAGAGATAAGGTTTCATCATGTTGGCCAGGTTGGTCTCGAACTCCTGACCTCAGGTGATCTGCCTGCCTCGGCCTCCCAAAGTGCTGGGATTATAGTCATGAGCCATCATGCCCGGCTTCAGTTTTCTTTCTAAGAGCAGCTGTTAATATACTTGTTTTTCTATATTTTGAAAAGAGAATTCAGATAGGCCAACATATTATAATTACATATACATTATCATGAGCAAAGGTAACTTTTACTGCACAAAAAATTTTTAAAAATTCAATGCAGCCATGACAATTAATGACATTTCCACCAGGACATATTTGCTTGAATGAATAAATGAATGACTTTAGTAAATGGACATGCCGTGATGGGGAAAACAAAAATCAGACATTTTTTGTTTGAATTTTCATGGAGGTAGTTTTATTTTTACATTTGTTTCATAAATGTGTCCCAAGGAATTACTGTTATAGCACAGGGCTATACCTATGCCACTTCCAAGTTCTCTTATAAAAAAGAAGATTGTATCAGTTGAGTAGATTCAATTTTTGATGATTTTTTTTTTTTTTTGAGATGGAGTCTCGCTCTGTCTCCCAGGCTGGAGTGCAGTGGCATGATCTTGGCTCACTGCAACCTCCACCTCCCAGGTTCAAGCGATTCTCCTGTCTCAGCCTCCCAAGTAGCTGGGGTACAGGTGCCCGCCACCACGCCTGGCTAATTTTTGTATTTTTAGTAGAGATGGGGTTTCACCGTGTTAGCCAGGATGGTCTCCATCTCCTGACTGCAAGTGATCTGCTTGCCTCAGCCTCCCAAAGTGCTGGGATTACTGGCATAAGCCACCATGCCCGGCCCATTTTTGATGAATTTTATGCAAATATAAGATAAGAGAGATGTGTTTTAGGCCCTCTGATGCTTGAGATCCAAATAATCTTCAGAAAGTTCCATTACAATTCAGTTATGAGTGTAATGAGAACAAGAGCCATGTTTCTGATTAGAGTCATGGAATCATATAATTTTAGCTCTAAAAAAGGAATCACCTTTGTTACTTTGTACAGTATGTGTTAGAAAAAATTATTGCTGAATGGGTTGTATATATAAGAAAATTAGGCTTATGATCATAATTTTAGTAATTTTAAAATAAAAGGGACCATACAAATCATACAACTTGACTCCGTTGTTTTTCTACCAAAAAAACCCCTGAGATCAAGAAAAATAAGTGATTCAGTCAGGGACATGGAGCTCAGGGTTTTCTGAAGTTGGGGTAGGTGGCACGTTACTATAAACAAAGTTACATTAAAATAAGGAAAGTTTAATTTTAAGCATAGGTTCAGCCTACTACCCATAATGCTTTTGAACTTTAGAGAATGCTAGGAGACCTGGAGGAAATATACATTCATAAATATATTGCCTTATGAGTCATAGACCAAAGCAAAAAAGAAAACATCAACCCCTCAACTGTACCTCAACCGCTTCTACTCCCTTTCAAGTACCCCCCACCACCACAACAGAACAGTGCAGATTCTTTTAATTCTTCATTCTTGGAACAAAAGTAGTGCTGCTTATGACTTTGCAGCTGGAGACACTAAAATTCTGAGCAAGTAAAAATCTAGAAAGTGCAGTGGTGTGTTTTCTCTGAAAAATTTATTTCATATTGCTATTTTTTGGCTTGTCTGGAGTTCTATGAGTGAAAAAGAAATAAAAGGTTGAATATTAAATGCTGTCTTATGTTGCAATACTTGTTAACAATAAACTATAAAAAAGACTATAAAAATCTAATTTAGACTTTATTAAATATATTGAATTTAAAGGTTGTTTTATGTGATAAATAGTAACTGTAGCTTTCTGTTCTTGTAAAGATGGCTTTATTGAACTATATTTAAGAGATTAAATTTTTTAAAAAGTTTTTTATTAAATCCACTGATGAATTAAAATGAAATGTCAGTATATTACTCTGTGTAAAGAATGCACATGTTTTTGTATATTGCTTTATTCACTAGGTAATATTTTTTATGTTGTAAGAATGGCTTTTACAGTATATCAAAGAATACATTCAACATGTTGAATGAAAGTAATAATTTTATATCTATAACAATAGAAACATTTGTTGCTGAGTTAAGATTAACGTGACTTCATATACATTTATATTTCAGGCTACCTTACTAGATTTTGGCTGGAGAAGTGCATTTAAAGAAGTGTCTCTTCCCATGGCGCACTGCATAGTAACTGAAATTGAAGGTTTTTCCACAAAAATTCTCCAACAGGAACAGAATGAAAGGTCTTCAGCTGTGAGCTATGCTATGAACCTTGTAAATGTCCAGCAAGTTTGGCAAGACAGCCATATGTTTCCTGAGGAGGAACAACCAAAGAAAATTGGAAAAGCAAGTATATAAAATCCTTTCAAACTGATGACTGACATGATGGGATTTATTTTAGTATAAAGCATTGCAAAAAGAACCTGTAGATCAAATGGTGGAGTCCCTTGGCAAATACTTGGTAGTTGACCCAGTACCAGTTTTCTTCAGTGGTATCCATGGGCCACTGCTGCCTAAAAGGACTTACACCTGATGCTAACTTGTTGCTCCATGAATCTAAGACAACCAAAAAGGGGCCTCTGTGACTTCATGGGGAGCTGGGAAACCCTGGGAAAACCACCTGTCTTGATTATACGTTTGAATGACTCCAGGAAAATTTAGGAGGTTGAAGGAAGTACTGTCTTTTCTAGCTTTGGGCACTTAAAAAAATCTTCATTAACACCTTAATGAGCTTTTCATCTCATTAGTATCAGTCTTACATCTCCATATGTGCTTTGAAAGTCACAGAACATACTGAGAAAATAGGAGGTAAATACAGTCAGTTGGCATTAAGTCCAGAATGAGTTCAGCAACCTGTGATTGGGATATTCCTTTTTTTTTTTTTGAGACGGAGTCTCGCTCTGTCGCCCAGGCTGGAGTGCAGTGGTGCGATCCAGGCTCACTGCAAGCTCCGCCTCCCGGGTTCACACCATTCTCCTGCCTCAGCCTCCCAAGTAGCTGGGGCTACAGGTGTCCGCCACCACGCCCAGCTAATTTTTTTGTATTTTTAGTAGAGACGGGGTTTCACTGTGTTAGCCAGGATGGTCTCTATCTCCTGACCTTGTGATCGGCCCACCTGGGCCTCCCAAGGTGCTGGGATTACAGGCGTGAGCCTCCGCGCCCGGCCGATTGGGATATTCTTAAAAGAATTTTTGAAGATGATCTCCTTATTCTGCCACTTCACCCTAAGGCTCCAAAACAAGGAGTTCCCTAGAGTCCCTAGGGAACTCTGTTGACTGATCCCATGTGGAGACAGGCTTTACTTTTCCATTCATCACACCTCCCTTCTGCCATTAAGAAAGAGAAGATACATAATAAATAGTGAAAGGCTAGACTCATCACTTCTAAAAGTTGCTGACACCCTACCAATAAGAAGATGCTACATGAAACTGTTTCTGATTATTCTAGAGTATTTAAATTACACTGACATTTATATGTGGCATTTAATTTGAAAAAAAAAACCCTTTATGGCAATTTAGCAAAAGAAAATTAGAATAAGTTTAAAAAATAATGCAAACGTTAATATCAAGGATACATATTTTCTGAGTACTACTAACTACAGATAAAGGTACTGTCATGTATAGCTGGTTCATGAGTTTTTCATAATGTCTGTCTGGTAAGCATAAGGTTTGAAGGTTATATAGAGAGAAGCATTGTTTTGGTATTTCCTTATTTGACATAAAACATTTAACTTTCTACAACTGAGAAATCGATTGTTACAAAGCTGTGTCATTATATTTATGTTTGATGCCAAATTCATTATTTAGGAATTTGGCTCCACTGTCCATAAATTACTTGGTGCTGTCAGAGTACAAATAACTCAGTGCCACATTTATTTCTCCCTAGTTTTGTTCTGACATCATGGAAAAACTTGACACCGTGCTTCCACTGGCTCTGGCATGCAGAGATGATTCTTTTCCGGAAATTAGAGCAAACTTGGTGGAGGCCTGTTGTAAAGTGGCAACAGCTGTCCTGCAGAGACTGCAAGAGAGAGCCAAGGAGGTTCCTTCCAAAGCACACCTGAAAAACCTGCACACATACCTCTCCACGGCAGTGTATGTCTTCCAGCATTTCAAGCGATATGATAATTTGATGAAGGAAATTACTAAAAAGTGAGTGTTGTTTAAATTAAGTTGATGGCCATGCTTGAAGAAACGTGTAATCTTTGGATATCACAGGAATGAAATTTTGGTAATAAGATTTGAGAAAGAGAAAGTAATAATTAACATGGTGAATTATTTTCATTTGTCTTAACTAGGAAATATCAAAAAGGTGGAGCATGGGAGATATTAAACTAGATACGTAGATAGTAAGAAAGGTACTCTCTCTAAAGCCACACTCAAAAGACCCATGCATTTTCTGCACCCTAACCCAGCGCAACTATTTTCTGCATGTTGTTATTACATGAATGAACACACCCTTTTGTTTTGTAAGGTGCATTATACTGACCACACTGAAAAGGAAAAATAAACTTGTTGTCTCATGGAGTGGACTTAGAAAATAAATTCATTGTAATCTATTCTAATGATCAATGTAAACATATTTCAGGACAGCCATTTAGTAATAAAGTACAATATTTGAAGAGGAAGCATCTGGCAGTCTGATTTTCATGTATTTGTAGTCTAAAACTACAGTATGTTTTCTGTATAGAGAGAAAAATGACCACAGGTATTAATTATCACATGGCCTTTCTTGTTGCCCTTACACTGTCTAGATATAACATGGCTACTTGCAAAAGAAATATGTAGACGTAGCAGTCCTGTGTGACCCCAAGAATCTATTCTATATTCTTTATCCAGCCTTTACAGTCCATTACTTATGAAAGAAAGCAGTGTGATATTCATAGCTAAAGATAAAAGTAGAATAAATTTGGCTTGATGTAGGGTATAACTGATATTTCTTTAATTCTCATAAGTAGTCAGATGTTGTGATTCAGGCTTGAATTTATAAACAAAATGTGCCAGAAATCATTTTATTTAATATTTCTGTAGAATTTTAAAAAACAGTTTATGAGATAATTGATATCTACAAAATTACAATTTTTAAAAATAAAGACTGTGTTTGTGGTACATTTGATAGCTTTATAAAAGTTGGTTCTGACAAGTGCATGTTGTTCTCTAGTAATAACAATAACCTAATGCCTAAATAATGCACTGATCTCTAATAATAGGCTTACAAAGAATACTTCCATTTTTGAATGATGTATTGACAATACAGTTTGTCTCAAGTTGAAGTGCATATTTGTGGAACAGCAGATGTACGTTTTCAAAGGGCTTGCGAAACAAAGACCAGCCTTTTTTTTTTTTTTTTTTTTTCCTTTTTGGAAAGTGAATGTGGATGCAGACTTCAGCATTAAGAGGAAATGAATGATTGATATCTAATAATCAAAACCATTTGTAGTACTGGAGATTGTTATCTCCTACTGCACAGGCCTTAAATCTCTGTCTCTTTGATCATTCTCTCTGAACAGACCCATATTCCTGGTGCCTGTCCAACGATATCAGGAATTCATCAACACTCTACAGTTTCAAGTTACGAACTACTGCGTCAGAGTTTGTGCTACAAGCATTTTACAGGATGCTGAGAGCCACCACTGGGATGACTACAAAGCTTTTTATGAGGTGTGAAGTTAAGTTTACTATCCCTCCTTTTTACACAAATATGTTTTACTGCCTACCTGCTTTCTGGCTAATTAGAAACATGAGCTTGGCATTACTGATACACGAAGACTGTTAGGATAATATTTTTAAAATATTGAATTCATACTTAGGAAAAACACTGTTTTTAAAAACCTGAAATAAATTAGACAGCAGAACTCTCCTTCTGCTTAAAAGTAAAAATAACTTAATTTGAGCTGCAATGTTGTGCCGTATAGTCAGAATATAATGGGACACGATGAAAACTCAAAGAGATAACAATGCCAAAATGCTACAACCTTGTATTTTTTCCAAAGGGACCAGTTAGTTATGGATATCCTTGCATTTTTTTTCTTGTTATACATTTCCATATGTGTTTGATAAATACCTTTTATTAAGCAGCTTTATTCTTCGTACTTATTTTTTTCCTTCTCATTGTATGTTCTTATGAGTATGCTTTAAGACCCATCTGAGGCCGGGCGCAGTGCTCACGCCTGTAATCCCAGCACTTTGGGAGGGTGAGGCGGGCGGATCACTTGAGGTCAGGGGTTTGAGACCAGCCTGGCTAGCATGGTGAAACCCCATCTCTAGTAAAAACACAAAACATTAGCTGGGTGTGGTGATACATGCCTGTCTGTAATTACAGCTACTCAGGAGGCTGAGGCAGGAGAATGACTTGAACCCGGGAGGCGGAGGTTGCAATGAGCTGAGATCTAGCCACTGCACTCCAGCCTGGGTGGCAGAGCCAGACTCTATCTCAAAAAAAAAAAAAAAGACCCATCTGATCAGTTATAGCTTACCTATTTTCATTTAGCCCATGTTTTGAAATCCCAAATTGAAGCCTAATGATTCCCAGTGCAGCCAAACCCAGGATCAATTAAAATTATTCATCGTCAAGCTTCATTAGTTTCCCTTCACCTAAATCTCATTGATTATGCACAGACCACAATATTTGAAATTCCTCGAACTTCATTCCAGGGCAGGGTGAAACATTTATAATATCTTAATAAAAGGTAATCAGGGTTTAAAAAATTTTCAACAGCCATGCCCAGTTTCATTAACTTTTCCATTTTACCCTTTCCTCTAGATTGAAGTTTGTGACTTTCATTTTCTTGATTGTCCTAATCACTATAGAGTATTGAGAAAACAGAGTGGAGTTTTATTCAACAGAATCGCTCCTGTCACCTCGCATGCACTGAAGGTTCCTGTGGTTTGATTCATGCCTGAGTTATTATCATAATAAATGTTACTACAACAGAGAGGAGCAGCTAATAAGAAGCTCTCTTAAAGGACTTTCCACTTTTTCTAAGGCCATTTCATCTCTCATTCAGAGGCCCTTCCCAGAGAGTTTTTCTCTTTGCAAGAGCATCCATATAGAGTTTTCCAAACCTGACATACTTCAAACAGTCATGGAAGCAGCGAGCAGAATGAGAAAGAGAAAGTGGTATGGTGCAGCTGGTAGCCTGAGATAAGAATGAAAGTATTGGTCTTCCCCTCTCCTGGCAGCATCATATTTTCCTTATTTGCCTTGAAGTAAACTGAGTGGTTGAAAATGAATCCTACTCATGTTTCAAACTATTTCAATATGTCAGTGTACTACTAATGAGCAATTTTATATGATGTTTTACATGAAGGACAGGTATCATCTCACTATATGTTCAACATAGGGGTATTATGTTTCCTCTTATGCAAATTGGGAGCTAGAAGAGTCATACAGTGTAAATAAGTGGATGCATTGAGAACCTGTTATTGAAGTTACCAAGTATTTTAAAAACCAACAAATTACCATGTAACATGCAGCTCTTAGATCTTATGACAAGGCTTTAGCTTCAAAGACAGAAATAACGAGATAGTTACCCTGTGATTACATGGTACTGTAGCTTCCATATACTTACATGGTCAGTAGTTACAATTTAATTGCAGAGTTAGTGGTGGTTATTTATTCTCAGAAAAATAAAGTGATACTTTTTTTAATGTATCAAAAATAAGAACCTTCTAAAAATAGCACTGATTTTAAACTGTTTTGACAACTGGCGTATCTGACATGGTTTTATCTTGCTTACTGCACCCCTTTCTTCTGCTCTCCCCATTATTCCAACTGATTTGTGAAACAGAATTGGTATGTTTTTGGCAGGCCTGCTTTGAGAGGGAAAAAGATGATATCTGCCTGACTGGGGGTGAAGGGTAGGATAGAGATCTCAAGGGAACCTATCGCCATGTGCAGAGCATAGTAAAGAAATAGTAAAATAATTTACAAGATATGCAGCAATATTTGCTCATGTTTTGTGATAGCAAGTGAGATCTAGATACATTATTTCCATTTTCTAAACTGTCAGCTTGAGAGAGTCAGAGTTCTGTATCTCTCTGATGAGGTGCTGGTCACGATGGCACAGTGGGTGTTCAGATTACATGTTCAAAATTAAGCTTTTAGGGTAGTTGACATCTGTTCAGTTTTAGGAACTTGTGTTTTCCAATAGTCAAAGAATAAAGAATTGTCTGTTCAAAGATAATATTGAGTGGCTTCTATAATAAAGCCCAGCTGCTTGTTTCCTGATATATAATCTAAATAAAAGCTCACATGTGTTTACATTACAGTGGGTCTGCAAAAATAACAGATGTTTACTAGCAGAATACTTTTGAAATGACAACAAATAAGGAAACAGGTCAGAAAAATAAATGAATCACATTTAGTTTAATGAAAACCCTTGCATACATTGAAGTTGTATGAATTTAAAAAGAATTGTTAGAACAAAGACCTATTTGAAATATTTTAAAGTAAACATGAAGTTTATAATTTAAAAAGTCTTAAAATGAGTATTTTTTTACTTTTAAGAGAAGAAATCTGTGTGCCTAAAGTTACTTTTATTTTCTAATTTATCTCTAAAGGGTAGCTATTGAAGAAATTGGTTTTTCATATTTTGAAGAATATGAGAAATCATTTTGATCATGTTGTAGTAAGAACTCACCCATTTCCGTAGGCAAAGTTAGTGTAAATCATTCATGCTAGTCAGTATCAACTGGAGTCAGTTTTGCTTAAATTTACATGCAAGACAAAAGGTATAAGAGAATCAGGCATTCAAACTCCTTTCTTAGTTTAAAAAGTATTCATCGAAACACACAACAAAGAAAGCATAAAAAACTATAATTTTGCTGCTTCATCATTAATTTTGTAATTTCTTTTTTCTTAAAAAGTTTAGATGCACACCTTATTAGGAAATCAGAAGCCAGTGGCCAAAGTCCCCTCCAGTTTGAGCTCGACTCTGACATTTTAATGCCCAAGTTTCTTACCCAAAGAATACAAATTCTACTCATTTATAAATGCCATTTGAAAGTCAGTAGATAATGACTATAAATTATTATTGTTTCGATGGCTGCAGAAGATATTAGTAATCAAAGAAACTACCAGAAGAGTAATACATAAAGAAAATACTAATGGGAGTGTCTGCATAAGAAATGATCACTTTTGGTATAAGAGAACAGCAGATTTTTTTTTTTTTTTTTTACATGACATTTGCCTGACAAATACAGATAGTGGGTAAAGCAGAAATTTTAAGTAAAAGATAATCACTTGGAATATAATAGGAAATTTTACTAGTTTAACTTCTGATATATTAACATAATCAAGATAATGCTTGAAGAATGCGTTCTAATCTTCCTATTTCAAATAATCATTTGATCTGATTTAAAGAAAATGGGGTGAAACTACTGGCATACCTCCCTGAGAGTACGTGTTACCTGATTAATGCTTGTAAATCACTTGAGGCCACCCTCTTCTTTCTGCCTGTTCCCCTTGGCCTTGGCCATTGTTAGTTCTTCCTCTGCAGTCAGAAAATTTGGCACACAGAAGAGATCTGTACAGGGGTGGAAAGGAATGAAAATATGACTCTTTAAAAGTACAAGGTGCCATAAAAATACTAAGAAATGATGATAATATGTGCCTAGGCTTTAAAAAATCTCGTAAACTCAGACTATTGTGATATCTGCTTCTAGTATTGTTATTTAAATACCATAGGCAAAATAGCCTAATGTAATGATCTTCGATAGCTACCCATTCCCCTTGGTTTCAAGAATGTTCCTAAGAATGCATTATGCAAGTTTATTTTTACTCCTGTCACTTCATTATAATGTGAAATCTGAAACATTTATAAAATTACCTCAATGATACTAATAGGCTCAGAAAAATATACCTACTGAAATGATTCAAATAGATTTTAATTTTAGAAGAATCAGTCCACTATCTTAAACAAGCTACCATGGTTTTTTCAGCAACTACAAAGCTAGTTGTTTAAAAATAAATTTTAAACCCTAGGCTAGGTATAGGTAAATCAAGGCTATGCTAGGCTAAATGTTTGTGATCTGGATTTGCACTAGAATGTCTAGTCTCATAATTGAAATAAAACATCTGTTCCTTTGTCAATAACGATGTTTTACATCTTATCAAAAATCTTTGTTGGTCTTCTAGTGTGTCAAGCTCTTTAGCTATTTCCTTTCAGCCTGAACTAATTAGGTTCATAGGAAGCAAACTGACATTTTAGAAGATGTAATTCTATGGTTTAACGTTTGGTGGCTTTGCCAGGGTGAAAGATGTTCCTTCTCGATCCAGATGTGGCATTATTTCTGCTGGGCTCTTCGTTACGATCTCTGGACCATTCTGCCTCCTAAGTTAGCCCAGGAGATTCTAGCAGAAGTGCTGGAGAAATCTTTGGGTCTACTGGCCTCCAGATACACTCGGGCCCACCCTAGCCGCAAAAGAACTCCACAGTTAAGGTAACTGAAGTTCTGAAAAACATTGCTTTTCAAGAAAACTTTTCATTAGTTGGCTATAAAGCAGAATTCTGAATCTCATGACATACTCCTTATATATTTAACATGTTTCTAACATCTGAAAAGAAATCATATTCTATTCTCCTGAGTTATTTAGGTGGAAATATGAAACCTGAATCGAAATAAATTTGTTCTTTTTATTCCTTAAAATTGTCTATAGAATCCACTTGTTTCTAAAAAAATGATTCAAGGTGTCTTATAATCGAGGATATAGATACACAAATGTTAATAAGATAAAAATAGAAAATTAAGGCCCTGAAATTGATACCAAAGCATCCATGCTGTGATGGAGCAGTCAGTTTGACACATTTGATTTTGAACTTCTAGGCAACCAGGGGATTTTATTTGTTTTTTGTTAACCCTTTAAATATAGAAACTTATCTTCATTAAGAAAACCTAATTATTTTCTTCCTAATATATTCTAATTATTTTTTCCTTTTATTTTCACTATTTGTTACTAACAGCCAGTTCAACAAAATGTGAAATCACAGAAAAGAGGAGCAACAGTCACTGAGTATTAAATAAGACTGAATTATAGTACAATTCTATGAGTTCTCTAGGCAATGAATGTATGAATTGTGCTTACATCACTACAATGGTCTTGTATGTATATGAAGAAAAGGCTTTTGTTTTGTAAATATTCTGTATAATGTGATTCAGACCTTTTAGGCAGAATAATCTTTTTTCAGATGTATTTTAGGAGGAACCTACAGACATGGGAGTCTTTTGTCTTTTTTTGGCAGGAGGAATCATTTCCTGATCATGTTCTTGTAAAGCGTGCTGCAATTTGAAGGGCATTTAGGTCCTGCTGCAGTGTTCCATAAATATGGTATTTTGCACAGGCTGTTTTGAATTACTGACTAGACTTTTTTTAAAAATTGAACTAAGAATAGATGGAAAATTCCTTTTGAAAGCAAAGAATACCTTCGTTCTTTTCCTTATATAGCATAAATCACTTTTGATTATGAAATGGCAAGTCATTATGTGAAATCAGCTTTACTGTTAGCTCATGAAATAAGTAGAAATGGGTAGTATGTTTAATTAATTAACTGTAGAATAGAGACTTTTGGTTTTTATTTTCTGGGTGGTTGCATAAAAATGCCATGCAATGTTAGAATTATTGCTTCTAGTTTTTGTAAGTAAAATATATAAATATTTTTATTTGACTGGCTACTCCTAAACCACCATTATTATGGAAATCAGATTGTGTATGTGTGTTTCTACATATATATTGGATTAGAAATTGTTTATCTAGCAATTAGAAAAAGCATATACAAACTAAAATTAAACCTTTATAAAGGCTATTATTGATTCTTTTAATATTCCAGTAGCCTTCAAATGTCACATAACTAAGCCATATATATGATTTACATATGTGTCATATATTATTAATATGTAATATTTATTATATAATAAATTTGAAGCCAAAATGTCATTTTGAAAGATCCTCAAACTTGTATTTTTCTTATCACTTCAAAATTTTCATCTTCTGTTTCTTCAACCCTGAATTTAAAACAAAACAACCAAAAAAAGGAAACTAACTTAGGTCTGTTCAATTTAGTTATGTGCCAAAATAATAATTAAAGAGATCTTTGGGTCCCTATTAAAACTCAAGAAAGATGGAAACAAAGAAATAAGTCTATGAATGAGATAAATAATACAGCATATTTTCCACAAATTTATTTAATATTAAACATTTCCGAAACTATAGGCTTCTCGATTTGAGCTTCGTTTGTCATTTCTTCTTATCTCCCACTTGCTGGGAGAACGTGCTACCAATCTTGTAACTTTTTTTTTGACAGTTTGCTCATGAGTGAGGAGAATTGTTCTGCCATGAAATTTTAACCTATCATACATACATATGGAAAATAGCAAATTTTTCTTTTCATCTAGCTTCTCTTTGACTCAGTGTAATTTCCGGGATGATCTCTTGAGTTTCTTGAACAGAATCCTAATAATGTAAAATAAACATTTTTTAAAAGCACTCCTAAAATGCTATTACAGAGCTCACCATCCCTAAAGATAATGGTATTGTGGGTCATCTAACACCTAGAAATTCAAAGAGTATCTATCTTTCATACTTTCTATTTGGTTTAGATCTCTGAAGCTCTGGTATCTAACTGAATTCTTCTATTCTTACATATGCTTAGTACAAGAGATACGAATTAAAGTGCCTACCAAGCAGAAACATTATTTTGTTTAACATGATTTTCTCTTCTTTCTTTCCAACAGACTTGATGTCACAACCATTTTGATATGCACTGAGAACATGTTATGGTCCATTTGTACATCTGTACAGAAACTTTTGAATCCTCATCAGCATACAGATGATAAAATTTTTAAAATTCATACCCATTGTAATAATCTGTTTACAACATTAGTCATTTTGACTTCACCATTAACAGAATTGTATAAGTAAGTATCAAATGTATTTTCCTTTTAGCTATTATGATATATAATAATGTGATTAACAAGTTATTTCCATAACACTTATTGAATTATGTGAAGTTACAAGTAGAAATCTTTTGAAGTGCATTTTTGATACTGTGAACTGGGCCATTTTATAAAACTAACACCAACCGAGTTTCATAATTCTCAATGCAATTCAGTGCCCGAAAATGTATTATGTCTCTATTGGTCAACCCCATTCAGCTGATAAAGCTCTAATATAATCAGGAACATTTTTAGCTTCACTATTTGGGTTGTTTAAATGATCAAATTATATTGATGGCCTGATTATCACAGTGATTTTTTGATACTTTATGAAAAAGAAAACTATATTTGAGATATACCTCAGCTAGCAATGGCAAATGGAAATAGAAATAATAATTACATTTTTAAAATGTGGAAATATTTTACTTAGGTCAACAAATAAGATTTAGAAAAATCTAGAAATGTGGAATTACTTTGATTTCTGGTTAATGCAATTCAAATCTGTAATGTTATAGAGGAGGTTAGAATATGTCTTATCATAAAACATTAATACCATTTTGTTTATATCCTCCTCCAAAATTGTCACTTTTATTTTTTAACCAAATAATTGTATCTTCATGGGTAGTAAAAATTTCACATGTCTATTTCTAAGGATAAATCAGGTCAAGTGTTTCTTTGCATAACATTCTGGTAAAAGCGATATACAAATCTTAATTTTTAATAAATTTTGACACATTTGTATTAGATATTCTAAAAGAATTAACAGCTTTTATTTCGGCTTCGCCTACTCTGACTTTCAATAAACCCATTGTTTCCAGAGTGTTCCTTCTAGCAACACACGTTGAGAACTACTTTTAGAAATGGAGAATTCTTTCAGAAAGGGGAAGAAACAGTGAGATAAATCACCATACGGTTGATATTATGTACATAATGGTTCATAATCATAAAAAGCTCAAGTCTGAAGCCCATAATAAATCCTAGGAAACTAAACTGATTTACCATAGATGAAAAAATTGCTATGCTCTCAGTTCAATGGGTCATTTCATCTAAGAGGAAGGCCCTGTGAAAATCGGGAACAAAGTTGACAAATTTCATGGATTGGTCATGGTGAGCAATATTGAATTTCATGCTTTGTCACAGATGAATTGATAAATTTTAGCCCCCCAATGCATTTGTAAAACAAATAAATTATTACCAAAGATTGCATATTTTAATAATAATGTAACATACATTCATTATTGTTAACCTATGGCTTTTTGATACATTTTTAACAACTATGCAAGTACTCAAATCTCTATGATTTGTGCATTAGATATTGCACTGTAACCTCATTCAGCAAATTTAAATTGCTAATTTCAACCAGGATTACAGAACATTTTACGCTAAGCACTGCCTCTGGTTTTTCTTAATATAAAACATAGATAGCTATATTGCTTTGAAGCATGAACAAAAATCTAGATATACTTTAATTCTTTTAAAATATTTCTCAGTTCAAAAAATTTCAAAAGTTTTATCCATTTATGTTTACTTAAATGTCATGATTGTTTTCCTAGACTACATATCTAATCTTTGAAATATACTTTGTTTTGTATTGACAAATGAAATCTACAGGGCAGCATGTTCTTTGCCAATTAGGGAAAAATATATTTGTGTGTTGCAAGAACTCTATAGACTTATTGGGCTTTTTTACACATCCAAGATATGAATCCATCATACTATTAGCATATTAGAAAAAATTGTGAATCTCACATTAAAAAATTAAACCACATTCTTTGAGGAATTGGTGAAAAGTAGCAATCAGATGTTAATAGTATTGAATTTTTATAAACGGTACCTGACATTTGTCACTCTACGTGATATGCCCTTTTAGAAGATGACTGCCTTTATTTCAAGTAGTTCTGACGGATGAACTGAATGTGTTTTCCTTTCTGAACTTAGCGTAGGACCACGAAATCCCTGGACAGGAATACATGATTTTAAAGTCTTTTCAGGAAGAAGGAAACCTGTTTGCAAAAATATGTGTTCTTTTTTAACTCGCCTTTATAGATTTCTGTTAGAATGTTGTAAAAGGAGTACTTCAGCTTTGTTCTCCAGGGAAAGGAACATGCTGAAACAGAAAATATTCACCATGTATTTTCCAAAGTGCTTATCACTTATATTTCTTTCATAAAGGCAGTTAAACTGCAGGTTCCGAAGCATATTCACATACATGTTCATACACATCCCCACCCAGTGATTTCATATGTTGCATTTTGGATGCGTAGACTTTAGTTTTAGTTCATGTGTAGCAGGTTAAAAATTAATTACTAGAATTTTTGGGTAAATGCAATTCAGTTTCAATTCGACAAATGTTGTTGCCTCTCTAGCCCCTATGATTAAAGATAAGGGATGCAACAATGAACCAGATTTAATATCTGCCACAAGTAATTTAAGAAAAGATGATGATATTTTTTATTTTAAATTAAAATAATATTGTCCTCCCTAAATCTATAATAAAAGGTAGAATTAGATAATGAATTTCATATGTATATCTAATGTCTGTGTCTATATTTATCCAAATGTTTTGATGTGTTATACCAAAACTCCTAATAGTAGAAACTTTTTGAAAGCTGGCTATTTCAACATTTAATAAGATGGAAGTGTGGGATTTCAATACAACTGCCAACAAGTCATGCAAAAGATAGGGTCATCAGAAATATACCCAAAGGTAGATCACTAAGCCAAGGAATAGCAGCCTCATCTTGGGGTCCATTTGTTGTCACTCATAAGGCTTTTTTAGTCACCAAATTCCAATGCTCTGTCTATAGTTCTGTTTCAAACTAATGTTAGGGCTTTCGAGGTTATGGCCTTACCCTTTGTTTAAAAAGAAACTATTTCACTGTCTCTCAGAAAATAAAATAGGCCTTTGCTTTTCCTACCTCAGGAATGACTGGCACACCTTGGAAAATAGGCAGGTCCTCAAGTTAAGCATAGAATATGCTTATGTGAAATATTGAGCATATGGTCATATGGCCCAACAATGAAAGTATTATGTCCACACAAAAATTTGTGTAGGAGTGTTCAAAATGTTATGCCCGTACAAAAATTTATGTAGCAGAATTTTTCAAAATAACACAATGAGAAAGCAGCCAAATGTCCATCAACTAGTGAATGGATACATAAAATGTGGCATATCCATATAGTGGAATATTATTCCGCAATAAAGAGGAATAAAGTGCTAATATGTGCTGCCACAGCGATGAACCTCAAAAACATGCTAAGTGAAAACAGCCAGACACAAGAGCCCACATATTGTTTGATTCTATTTATTAGAAATGTCCAGAATAGGCTTATCCGTAGAGACAGAGAGTAGATCAGTGGTTACCAGAAGGTGAGGGGAGGAGGGAATGGGGAGTAACTGCTAATGGATACAGAGTTTCATTTGGGAATAAAATATTCTAAAATTAGATACTGATGAAAGTTATGCAGCTGCATAGTATAACCATCTATATAGTATATATATAGTATAAACCATCTATATACTTTAAATGGGTAAATCTTGTGGTATATGAATTATACATCTCAATAAAGTTGTGAAAATGAATATAGACTGAATGGAAATTTAAACATACTTAAAATGATTTTTTTTTAAAAAAAAAGGTATCTGGCAGAATGCAAAATTTTCCAGAAAGTGAAGTTTCTTGTCTTAGTCATTTTGTTTAGGTTCAATGACTCCCTTTATCCACCTTCCTGTAAACATTATTTTAGAAGGGAAATCTCATTTTTAAAAAAACACAAAATTAAACAGCTTTATGTGTCATCCTAATAAGGTTAAAATACTCCAAAAGAGCCAGTCATTAAATTTAGAGAGGGCTGCTCCCAGAATATTCGACTGGCTGACTCCTGGTGTACCCCGAGGTCCAGTCTTTCTCTCTCTCCACCTCCTGTCCTCAACCTGCCCGTTGGCTGTCTACCACCCACAATTGCTCTTCACAGATGGCCCTTAAAACTCATCCTCCTTTTAACTAAGCAAGGTCTGGTAATACCTTTTATTCATTCTTTCTTTCTTTTGCCATGTATTTACCATGTATCTACTATGGGCCAGTTATTCTCTTACCTCCAGTTATCATTTGCTAACCTCAAAGAGTTATTTTCATCATGAGAAATTCAAGGCACTTAAATGTCACTTAATGACATTTAGGCAACAACTTATAGTCTTGGGTATAATGCCGGTTTTTGAAAGCGAAGCAGCGACTTAGAATTCTGTTTAAAATCTTGAATTCAGTATTCATAGGTAGTTGTCTGTGATTCTAGGGCCATCAGCAAGGTTCACATGTCCTCAGTTATCTCGAGCTTTCCAGGGCTATCTTAGTTATTCAGTTTCACATTAATTCTGCCTTGTCTAAGGTTGTGGTCTTCTCTTGGTATGATTTATTGCACGCCTCCAGTGGCCCAGGCACCATGGCAGGCACAGATGACTCAAGAAATCTAACCTGACCCTCCACTCGCATAGAGCTTACATCCTTGGGCTACCTTAATTCAGTCATGGAGGTTTATTCCATTAACATCATATTATGAGACCTGTTTCTCCTGCGGGGGCAGCCAAAACAACATGACACAAGAGAAGCATAAAACCCAGCTAACTCTTTTTAGCTCATCAGTTCTTCTCACTTTTGATGTGCATTGGTTTTTATCTCCTTTCAGCATCTGGCTAAATAAACCCAAAGACCTGATCAGTTTTGTTAAAGAAAAAAGGAATTCTGGCAACATAGGTATAGATCAGAGAACCCAGAGAGAGTGAATCTAGGACAGAGTGCTGGTGTGGTCAGCAAAGAGGCAGTATAATGCTAAGGCAAGGAAGGGGCATGGCTAGTTGGGGTGGGAGGAAGGGCAAAGGCAAGGAATTTTCCCAAAATCACTCTTTTGCCCTTAAGTAAAGTCATCTTTACAGTGTGTCATTTGGGAATGTGAAGAAATGTACCTGCTTCAAACTTATGACATTTATTTTTAAGAAAGTATTTAAATTTGCTGTATCAAAATTCTCTTATGTCTTGTGAAAAATATAATTCTATGGCTCATACAATTGTATTTTACTCTCCACTATGAATTATTTAGAGCATCCTCTCTTTTAACTGTATACCAAAACATCATTAGAGGTTATCTAATAGCTAGCTCATAATTTCATTCTCCCATTGAGGCTTGTGGGCCAATTTTCACCCTGTTATACTCTCTAGAATAATGAAACTAATTTGGGATCTTGCTGTGGAATTAAATGCTCATACAGATCTCACTCCCTTTGAGACCATAAACATCTGCCATAATATCTCTTATAGCCAAATAACCTTACTATAACCAGTATGACTGAGAAACTGTCAGTGGAGTGAAAGAGTTTAGGTACTGGCAGAAATGCTCAGATAAATACCATATTGCCAATGGTTTGTCATCTAAGAAATTTATGTACTAAATAACCATGCCATTATTTTTAGATCCTCCTTTATTTTGTCTAGTTGTGAGAATAAAACTGCAGCTAGGCAACCACTTAGACTATCAGAAATTTCATGTCAGTTTTGAAATGGCCATAGACTTTTTTAAGGACAATTTCTACTGATTGTTATCTTATAATGATAACTTACTTATATTGAGCACTTATTGTGTACAAGGCACTTTCCTAAATGCTTTAAATACATTATTCCACTTAATGTTCACACTGACTCTGAGGGGATTTACTATTTTAATCCCCATTTTACAAATGAGAAAACTAAGGCTAAATATACTACCACCAGCATTGCCTGTTAATAAAAGCATATTCAGGATATAAGCCCAGGCTTTCTGGCTCCGGTTCCTGCATGTGCCCATACACTACCTCTATATAACCTTCGATGACCTTACCCTTAGGGTATGGAGCAGATAAAAAAGTAAATGCAAAGGGATTGGAGGTAGAGTTAAATCCTATAAAGAAACAAACCAAAATTAGAGCATAGAGAGGGGATAAGGTTGTGAAAGGGTAGTCAGAGAAGACTTAGTAGAGAAGCTTCAGAGGTAGAGCAATCTATGGAGCTACCTGAACATGATAGAGAAGTCATCTAGATAAGGTATTCATTCTTAGAGAAATGAGGTAACCCTCAGACAACTAGACAAATAGGAATTTTATGCAAAGAGATCAAGGAAGTGTGAGAGAAAGTAGGCATAGGCTATGAAAAAGGCTACAAAGATATGTAGTATCTTTGTCCACATTCTCCAGTCCCTCCTGCTCTCTCATCACCCATCCTTTTCTCTGAGTCTTTGAGTCTCTCTCTTCCTTTGAGACTGCCTTTCTCTCCAGACCACTTGCTGCATCTCCTGTCACATTGTACCAGCACCCTCCTTTTCCTAGCTCTCTTGCAGTGGCGTGGTCCTCCTCATACCCTCACTTTCTTGGGCTCTATCCAGACTCTGGTACACTTTTAGAGAATATCACCCACCTCTCCTTTTATACCTTTTGACAATTCCACTCTTTGCCAAATCTTGGGTAACTCCTTTTTTCATCCTTCCCCACTTGGGTCTAGCCCCTGATCCTTGCCCCATGTGTTTGTTAGCAGATAGCCTTGTTCCTGTGCATCTCTAAGAAAATCCACACCATCATGAATGCACTTTAACTTCTCATTTCTGTTCTTAATAATTATTCTCCCCACTCACCTCTACATCCTTTGATTACTCTCTGATCGATATGTCTATTTTCCCAATTAGAGTAAATCTTTTTACCTGACCTCTTAATTGCATTCACCTCCTACTCATGGCCTTTTAAATATTCTTTCTAACTTGTCTTGTGGATCCTTCCCCCAAACATGTCCTATATTAAAAAATGTTCCTCCATTACTATTATGTTTCCCTCCCAAAACAGTTTTCATTCATTGTCTACTTTTATACCTACCACTCACTCAGTGCACTGCAATTGGACTTCTACCCTCAGCATGCTAAGCTAGCAACATGGGCAGGGTCCTCCATACACTCCCGATTGCTAACTCCAGTGGATTCGGTCATTTTCTCTTCTCTTGGCTTCTCTAATACCACTTTCTCCCGTGTCTTGGCCTACTTCTCTGATTATTCCTTCTTGGTTTTGCTAGAATGTTTCTTTTTCTGGCCTTGCCCTTTAAGTGTGGGTATGTTCCAGAGTTTTATCTTTGATTGTCTTTACATATTACATTCCTTTTTTTTTTTTTGGTGGGGGATGGGGTGAGGGGGTGTGAATTCATCCATTGCTATGGCTATACCATTATGTTGATGACTTCCACATTGGTGTCTTCAAACCAGACAGCTTTTGTATGTGCTGTATCAGTAAATCCAAATTACTATTCAATGCCTTGGATGTACTTCAGATGTCTGTAGCCCCCTTAACATATCTAAAACTAAGTAAAATACTTGAAATGTATCCTAGGCTTCTTCATTTTCCTTAATTTTCTCCTTCTATCTTCCCACTCATACCATCACCAACTCCATGTCATTAGGAGATGAATATTGTTTGTTCTATGAATTTAACAAGTTTTATATTTGTCTCCTACTTACTATCTCCTGTCTTTTACCTTGGTTCAGTATCTTATCCTCTCTGACCTGTCTACTACAATATCGCCTTCATTATCTCCCTCCCTCCTGCCTGACTCTTTCCAATCTGCTCCTCTCACTACTGCTAAAGTGATTTTTCTAGGATGTAAAACTGCTAGGGTTAATCCCATGCCATAAACTCTTCAATGATTCGTTATTGCCAGTACTAAGTCCAAACTCCTTAGAAAAACATATCCTGGTTCCTGGTCTGGCTTCTGCCTACTTCTCTAGCTCACATAGTGGAATACGTGAGATGGAAATATTACAGCCTGACTTTGAAGCCTATTTAAGGAATTTCTATTTTGATCTGAGATTTACTGAGGAAAAAAAAAAAAAAAGCCTTTTAAAGAAGAGATGATATATTAAAGTCTAAAAAACATCCAAGTCTATTTAATTAGAAGATGTTCTATTTAGCAAGACAATCAGGGGGAAAGAAGGGTCAAATTTGAAGAAAACATGAAGACACAAGAAGCAAGATGTGGAGTGAAAAGATAAAGGTGCATTTTCAAAATGGAATTCTGTTCTGGATATCAAAAGACACTATTGCTCCTGTACTGTATATAAAGAGAGCTGGTACCACCTCAAAAATTCCATTTCTAGAGCATTCTCAGTCACTGCTCTTAACTCTGTGTAGGAAAATATAACCTCCTGTTGTTATACATTTTTTACTAGCCAAGTTATCTGCTAAAGATTTTATGTAACAAATTCTTTTCTATTGTGTCAAGATTTAGAGTTGAATTTGAGCCAGCCTAGAAAAATGTTGCAGTAACCGTTGATAGTTGTACATCAGATATTCGGGTTGCATTGTTTTAATTTTGAAATTATAATTATGTATTTTACAACTAAATTCTTCTTTATAAACCCTCTCTAGACCCTTAGGAGTATACAAAATTAATTATAAATTCTAATTAATTATTTAATACTTATAAATCACTTTAAAGATTAAAAAGAGGTACCATGATGCTAAAATTTTTACATTAGTGAAGCAAACACTGGCATTTATTGGATCCAGGTTGAAGAAGATAACAATGGTATATAAAAATACTACTCATGGGAAACATAAGTAATATTCATTGTACTATTCTTTATCCTTTTGTCATGACAAATTGTATAACATGAGATTTTAAAGAATTAAATGATAATGGTATTGTTACACCTTCCCCAAGTGTAAGGATTGGTTTTATAGAGGTTCATAAAAATTCTAAGTCTTAACTTGTGGTTTTTCATGGCTGTGCTGACTTGCCCACCTGGCCCCGAGTCACCTATTAACATAAATCCCAAGCGGATGAAGTGGGGGCATTGTCCATTCTAGCACAATACCGTTTTGTGTAAAAATCGTTAACTGAGCCAGGCACAGTGGCTCATGCCTGTAATCCCAGCACTTTGGGAGGCTGAGATGGGCGGATTGCCTGAGCTCAGGAGTTCAAGATCAACCTGGGCAACATGTTGAAACTCCGTCTCTACTAAAATACAAAAAAAAAAAGAAAAAAGAAAAATTAGCCAGGCATGGCAGCATGTGCCTGTAACCCCAGGTACTTGGGAGGCTGAAGCAGGAGAATCACTTGACTCTGGGAGGCAGAGGTTGCAGTGAGCTGGAATTGTGCCACTACACTCCAGACTGGGCAACAGAGCAAGACTGTGTCTCCAAAGAAAGAAACAAACAAAAAAAAATCATTAACTGAATCCTAAGTAAAAATCAAAAGTTATTTCAATCGTCATAGTTAATGTTTCCTGTATATTCTAAACTAATGATTTGTATTTCCCTAGGACTTTTCAGCATGGCCTGGATGAGTCTACTTCAGATTCCTTAAAATCATGTTTTAAGCAACCATTATATTGGGTTTCTTGCATATCACATTTCTACCCTTCTTTACTCAGGTGAGAGCCTCTAAATGCTATACTATCTGTAATTCTATGATTCCTTTTAAAATTTAATAGAAATTTTTATCTGTGGATATAAATTAACTTATATCTTACAAAAAGAACTTACAACTTTTCACAATGGGCAGGTAAGTAAAGAGTATTATTTCTCTTTTCTTAGCTCAAGAATCAAAGGCATAGGCCTCATAATTCTACTAGCTTATAGCTTTAGTGATGTAATGGAAAACTGTAAAGTTTTGGAATTTAGTTTTATTTTAAAATTTGTCTTTCTTGATATATGACTGGGGATTTGACAGTTCTCAAGCTAATTATCAAACATAGACATGTAACTAACTCAGAGCCTTAGGTAGAAGTTGAGAGAGAAGTAACTTTTAAAATTATGAGTAGGATCTTTCACTTTTATTATTTAATTAACAGCACTTAAAAACAAGAAAAATCATTTAAAGTATGAAATGTGCTTCCAGAGTAATCTGATGGCATTTTGTGGCATTATGTGAAATGGCAGTTTGATTTCTTGCTGAATATAACATTGGAAAGTACCTTTCCTTGGTATCTGAGAATAAAAATATCATGTACAGCTAAAGGAGATATTGTTAATCCCCATACATTCTTGATTCATCTTGGAAATACACTATCAGCTATTTTACCATTTAAGCTGACTCTGTCTCTTGAGGAACAAGATTGTCACCCATAAATAGAAGGTGTGAAAACCTCATATACGAAAGTTTCCATACACACAACAAACTTACACTGTTTGCCTAATGTGTGCCTATTTCCATATGGGTAATGAAAAATCCAACATTAATGAGACATAGACCCCATCTTCAAGGATCTCAATGTATTGTCATTACTTCATTTACATATAAAACTTTGTCTACATTTCTGATTAATTCCTTATGATTGAGTCCTAGAAATGGAATAGTCTCAATGCTCTGTCATCTTGTGTGTAAATATATCTTGCCATCTTGCACATAAATATATTTTATTTCATTTGGAATTAAATAGCCAACTCCTTAATACTCATTGTTGCAAAAGTAACAAATGACTGGATCTCTTACAGTGTGAGTCAAGCCAACAAGCTCTGTCATTTGATGAGTTCCTACATTTATAAACATATCTGTTCTCCATGTTATTATCACATTTGCTTTAACCTATTTTACTGCCTGCTTTTATTTTATATCTGGAACCATTGGAGTTATTTTCTTTTAGTTATAAGTCTGTAAGACTTCCACTTCCAAGCTTGCTCAGCTTAACCCAGCTAGAGTCCTGGAAATCAGCATGGAAATAGGCTTATCTTTCAAACACTAATTCTTATATTAACTTCTTTCTCTTTTCTATATCTACAGTGAGCAAAAATGCACATTTCTTTTCTTTCTGTTCTGTTTAGCAACCGATCTCCACTATTGTCCTAACACGAAGACTAGGACATGGAGACGACTATTCAGCTAAGAGTGGAAATGAAATTTTATGCAAATTCATGAGGACACTTTAGTAATACGTATTAAAAACTTAAAAATATTTTTGCCCTTTTATCTAAGAATTCTGTTTCTAGGAATCAACTATAAGCAATTAATCAGAGAGGTTGACAAAGTTTTATATATGAAGATATCCATCGGAGCATTATTTATAAGAGAAAAAAATGGAAATAAATATTCTACATTGTAGCATTAAACAATTTAGTATGGGATAGTGGCATAATAGACTATTGTGGAGTGATTAAAGGGCTGGGTTTTGAAACATAATTATATGGGGAAATAATTGTGGTAGGTAAGTGAGGGGGAAAATTCAGGTTAGTAATTATGAAATTACCAAAGCCAACCCAGTTTATAGAGTGATAAGTGTGTACCAGACACAGTGCTTAGTGCTTTACATACATTATCTTTTTAAAACCTCACACTAGTTCTGTAAAGTAAGTACTCAGGTGCTTCTTTTATGGAGAGCAAAGTGCTGTATAGGCAGCAATGTTCTGGAGAGAAGAAAATTGGAGGCCAGGCTCTGAACTCAGGCCTGTTCTATTCTAAAGCTTAAGCTCTTGACAACCATACCCCCACCTTTCAAAGGGAAGAGCAGTTAAGGGTGATGTTAACAGGTGTACATGAAAAATCATTCTACTGCACAAATAAGATTGTCAGTTATTAATTATGTAAGGTCTTTTTTTGTGATTTAACTTTGTAGGGACTCTGACGTGCTAGTATGTAGTGTTTAGCTCTGCTATGGTCTGAACGTATCCTCCAAAATTCATTTGTTGGAAATATAATCCCCAATGCAACTGTGTTGGGTGGTGGGGTCTAATGGAAGTTATTTATATCATGTGGATTTTTCTGTCTTAAATGGATTAATATTACCATAAAAAGGGCTTACAGGAATGGGTTCATTTTATCTTGCCCTTTTTCTGCCACGTGAGGATGCAGCAAGATCGCCTCACCAGATGCTGGTGCCTTGATCTTGGACTTCCCTGCCTCAAGAACTGTGAGAAATAACTTTTTCTTCTTTGTAAATTACCCAGTCTGTGTTATTCTTTTATGGCAGCACAAAATGGACTAAGACAGTCTCAAAGGAATGATCTAGTATGCAGATTCCCCAAACTTGCTGGGCGAGAGAACTCTTGTTTTGCAGAGAATTAGCAATTGTTGGAAGGTGGAACATCATTGGGAAGTGTTGAACTATGCTATACTATCATATTTAGAGCACAAAAAAAGTACATATAGAAAAATAAATATTGAAAGGATATATGGTGGTGGGTTTATAGTTTTTATCTGTGGGTGGTAGGATTGCAACCAATTTTAATTTTCATCTACATAGTTGTCTATATTTTCCAAATTTTTTATAGCGATAATAATTTAATTTTATTAATTATGAATACTTTTTTTTTTTGAGGTGGAGTTTCACTCTGTCACCCAGGCTGGAGTCCAATGGCACGATCTTGGATCACTGCAACCTCTGCCTCCCAGGTTCAAGTGATTCTCCTGCCTCAGCCTCCCAAGTAGCTGGGATTACAGGCACGTGCCACCACTCCCGGCTAATTTTTTGTATTTTCAGTAGAGACGGAGTTTCACCATGTTGGCCAGGCTGGTCTCGAACTCCTGACCTCAAGCGATCCGCCCACCTTGGCCTCCCAAAGTGCTGGGATTACAGGCATGATCCACTGCGCCCAACCCGTGAATACATTTTTTTAAAAGCAAAAAGAAAATCTGTTTTCTTTGATTTCTCTTTTATTCACATGGCTTAACCTGTAACCTCTATACAGATGATTTCCAGTTCTACATCTATAGCTCTGAGTGATTACCTATACCCCAACGGTGTATGTCCAGCTGTTCTTATTTCTTGAACACCTGCTTTCTTTCAATGCCATGTCTTCAGATGATCCTTCTTTCCCCTCTTCCCTTGTCCTTCATGCAGGGAGTCTTTTCTATTAGGAGTAACAGTATTGCTACATGCTTCCAAAATAGAATCTTGATTATGATTTCTATGCTGAGCCATTTCTTCCTCTAGTCCTAGTTTATTATTGTGTTCAGTTCATTCTTCTTCCAAACTTCTCTTAGAATCACCCTTGTCTCTCCACCCCCTTATAACAACGTTAGTCCATTTTACTATTATTTAACATGTTTAAAAGACTGTCTTCATTATGTTTCTCTCTCATTCAGAAACCTGTAGTAGCTTCTGCTTCACCAACACTGTCACTCCTGGCTTACTTGTTGGAGAGTTTTCTGGCTTATTTCCTGGAGAGTTTTCTCTGCTCCAGTTAAGTCAGTCTCCTCTTGTGTCTTTAAGACTTAGTTATTCCATATTTTTGATATTTAATTTGTTGCTTATTCTCAGCTTCAGGCCCTTGTTTATGCAGTTTCCTTTCTTGGAATACCTTTGGTTCTCTCCTTTGTCTTTCTAAATTCTCCATGCAAGGTATAGTAGGAGGACTCTCACTGATATCCCACCTGCCCATTAGGTGTCATATTTTCAACTAAGTCCATATAATCTGCCTAGAAAGATGTGATCCATGTGATTTGTAATCCAGTGTGCTCAGAGCACTGTACAATCAGAGGAACCCAGGGCAGCAATAAAAGCACTTTTAAAATAATTAAAGTTATTGATTTGCATTTATCAGACATTACAATGTGGATTCCTAGACCACCATTATATGAACTTAAAAATCTCACCTTTCCATTAATTTCCCTCATCTGTATCAGCTGTCTGTGTGAGTCTTTCACCCCCAAATTATCCTTCAAAACTCTATTCTTCACTTTAGCAACTAAAATGAACTGGTCAAGGAAATACGGGAGTTGGATGATGACAAACAAAAAATGTATTAGGCCTATCTTTTGGTAAAGGGGAAGGCTGAGAGGAGAAGTGACTGAAATAGTTAATATCATGAAGGAAGTTAGTAAGTTATTCATCTATTTGCTTACTTATTTGTACCTGCATATTGTTTCAGAAAGAATTTAAGTCAACGTTTAGCAATATTAAATAAACTAAGATAATTAATTAAAAGTGGGTGAGAATGAAAGAAACAAGAAGGACATGAAATTCAGAATACAAATAGAGTTAAGAATGTAGTATGGACCATAAATTTGTCTATAATCTTACTAGAGAAAACTATGAAATGGATAAAAACACAATTTTTCGTGTTCTCCTAGAACCCTGGGAATAGAGTTTAGAAGAGTTTATTTTAGGGAAAATAAATATATTTTCAAAGCAGTGAGTAAAATGTACTACATTCATTGTCCGTAGCAGTGGTATAGGCTAACAATGTGAGTTGATTTAGAAAGGATAATCAGTTTCATACTGGATTAAACTAAGACATGTGGACAATGTATTAATCTCAAGGTTAATACAGATACCATATTGTGCATTCATAGAAATGTTCAAGAAAGAATGCTGTCCTAGTCAATTATAATATGTTGCATTATAATGTCTTTTATCATTTTGTAAACTTTCCTCTTCATGTGGTTTAAAAAAGTATTTTCAGGTCTTCCTTAGCTAAGCAGGTCATAACTGTACAC